GAGACTTATTATAACATACATGAAATATATGGAGATAACGAACAGTATTCAAGCTCAAAAGTCCATTAAACAATACAAAATAGGAGCAGAGCAAACGACCTCCAAAATATCAGAGGTGAGGTCATGTGCCATGGAGGAGTGAGCATCTCCTGCCGACCGGTCACACCCGCCGTGTGCTCCTTGTCATGATCGGGAAATAACGGAAAAAATCCGTCGACAATTCAGTGTGTAAATAATGGCCTAACAATTAGTATGAAAAACGTCAGTCAGCATTTGACTCAATGATAAATTGTATTTGCTGACAAGGTCATTGTTTCAAAGAACTTATGAAATTATGACTTTAAACGAGACTGCTGATATTCTTGTTTCATCAACTTGTTTCTTTTGTTTCTTAATAATACGTGTGTCTTATTTATTTGAAGCTTAATTTTAAAAATATAAATTAAAAATCAAGTTACTTTGAATTTATTTTGCATACATCATTGTTTCGACCATAGAACTTATGAAATTATGACTTTAAACGAGACTGCTGATATTCTTGTTTCATCAACTTGTTTCTTAATAATACGTGTGTCTTATTTATTTGAAGCTTAATTTTAAAAATATAAATTAAAAATCAAGTTACTTTGAATTTATTTTGCATACACCTGACCTGAATAATTATATTTGCGGATAATTACACTAGATAAAATTGTTAATGCACCATCATAGAAAAGTAATTTTTATCTTTTCAATAGTTGTTGAAGGCATATCTGATATATAGATATGTAACCAAGATAGAAAGTTAGTGGTTTAAATACTAAAACAGGTAAATAAATAAATGATAAGTGTAACAGTTTCATAGAAGTGCATAAAAATCGTGCTCACACGTTTTAGATGAATAAATTTCCCTTTTCTTCTTTAAAATTGTGTTCTTTATGTTTGCATTCATTAAAAACTCAGAGAAAAAAAAAACCAAGACTGGGTTTGCAGCGTTCGACCAAAGAAGAGTGTGGAAGGGCAGTTGGTATGGTGTCAGCACAGTTGAAGATGTTTGGTTAAAAATTGTGGTTTTTATTAGTTGAAAAGTATTTTGAGCAGATTAAGGAATGTAAAACTGATGTGTGGGTAAACACGACATTTAATAGACACCTCACGCCTATTGCAAGATTGTACCGTAAATTTGTGACAACCGGAAGTGTGATGGTTTAAAGATTTATCATACCCAGCGCATGCTCTCGCGTACTAAATCAGCTTGGAGGCACCATATGTAAGTGATAACGGAATGTTGCTTTATAAATAAGGGATATGACGATGGAAAAACTGAAGGCGTCCGTTTTTTATATAGTTTAATTGTTAGTTGACCATTAACGTCCATAGTCATGCAGTTAAACACTCAAATATGAAACAGATATGGTAGACTCTTTGGTGTATTCTAATTCGAGCTTATTGGGAAGTATCGAGTCGACATATGAATAACAATAACTATTGTTAAACGATAAAACGTCGCCGATATATCTAAATTTCGAATTGAAGGCCACGGCTAGAGTTTTTTCCTTCTCTTATAGAGTCTCTTGTAGAGTTTTCTTTAATAAATTCTGCTTTATAAGAATATAAAATAGGTCAGTTAATACATGGGCAAAATTAGTGTTCATCGGAATTCCAACACATTGTTAGAAGACCTGGTCTCCAAACATTACGTAGATATTGTCAGTGAGGAACTCCAGCATTCTTTTAACATCAACTTCAGAGTATTTGTGTGTAGAATGATTTTTAACAAAGTAATTTTATTGATGATTGATCACAATATATTAAAATTTCCGACTTCTATTTTTATTGAAGAACCTGTTGTCAATGATATCAAACATTCTGGTTAGAAATTTTGTACGGGCAATGCATTCGCAAAAACATTATTTTTCGAAATAAATCAACAAATAAAAGTCAATGTAATATGTTTTATATGTTAATGTGGATTTTTCCTATAATAGTGAATGTCTTTAATTAATAACTGCTTTTTGTTGTTTGAATTACAATTCATGTGCAGTGCCTGCTGACCGTTGATTTTACATTTATTAATATGAAAGATTTTTTAAAGTGTTATTTATATTGTTTTAATCAATCGTATCTTTTAATGTATATTCTTAAACTCAAATGAACCGGGAAAATTTTATGCTTAGTCAATAATTTTTATTTGAAGGTTTGTTTACATGAGACTTCATTCTTGTATCAACATGTAAATTTGCATGACTGATAAAAATACCTCAAATGTTTAGCTTTTTTATTTCAGCGTTGAGATGAATTCACAAAATTAAGAACTGTATGAATTGATATATGACATTTTGCCCCAAAGTCACAAAAATAAATTGATATCCATGTCTGAATAAAAACACTGTTTTATATAATCATATAGAGCGTAAAGCTTCTCTTATTACATTCTGCATTGTATGTGCTTTTCTTTTTATTTTGTTTTTATACCAAAATATTCAGAATTTATAAATAATAAATGCATAAAAACAACGTTTTACGAATTACTCATACAGAAGGAGTTCCACAGTGCACAGGAAAATTTTTAAATGTGCATGAACGTACCACGATACGTTTAAGAACAGTGCTTGATCTGCAGATTAGTAATGACGTAAAAACTCATTTTACAGAAATTTCAAACGTCGAGATTGGGTTTTCAGAAATTTTATATCATGATTTTTACATCAAAGTTCGATTCTAATCGATCATTATTTCGTCGATATACGTATGTTCAAGACAAAAGTAAATTCTACAATGGGTAATTCATGCTGAATGTCAATTTTATAATTAATTCTGCAGATACCAACATTTATTATCGGCTTAAAAAGTACACAGATAAAAAATGCATTCTCTTTTGAACATTGCAGCCTTATATAATTTTCGAACATTCCAGGAGATTTCTTACTGGACAAGCTGAAGTATGCATATTGTAAAGTCAAGCATCTTGGGAATAAAAACAGCACGATATTATTTAACTTTTTAACTTTAATTTTAAGCATCTGTTTTACTTAATTAGCCTCATGGGAAAGGGTGCGTTTACCTATTTCTTTAAGGATAAACATTGCTAACTTTCTTTCCTCTGACTTTTGTTTATGATGTTATTCTGAATATATACGTCTGTGTTTGCGTGGGTTGGTAGGCCAGGTTTGGTTTGCCAGTGTCTGGATGGCACACTTAGTGTAGTGCTGTCTAGAGTTCAAGAGACCAAGGGTTCAAAATTATACCTTATTTGCATCATTTGATGCCCTGTCTTGGAAGAAACAGACTGATTGGTGTTGTTCGTGGCGAAGACAATTAAAACGGGATCAATGTGGCGGTCAGCCAGGTTCGCCGGTATCCAAAGAACTCACTAGAACCTCAGTCTAGATTTAGAGGTTTCGGACCTCTGAATCTGAATTCTTGCCTGGTGTGTTGCAGTTTCTCCCTTCTGTTTTACACTAAACTTTAACAAAACTGAGCGAAACACAATGTTGCATTTGATAAACTGTGTCTTTAAAACATAAATTACAATGTATAGTTTTCAACATTTACAAAGAAATATTTATACAAGCAAAACAATTCAAAATTGAAGCAAAGCTTAATCTGAAGTTCACAAGTCTAATGTATGATTAATTTTAAAAAATATGTTCTTAAATTATATGTCAAACTAAAGCTAAACGGCTACATCACTGATGAACATGTTAATTTATGGTATAGACCAGGTCCATAGAAGGGGGGGGGGGGGGAATTACAGCCCCCTTTTTCTAAGTATAGTATTTTGCTAAAGCAAATTTTCATTTAGATGCTGAGTTAAGGGGGTATTTTTTGTTTGTCAGATTATTTTGGGAAGTTGCCCCCCACCCACTTTTTGGACAGTTTATTTTTTGGGGGGGACCCCCACCCCACCCCCTCCACTTTTGAAACCGTTGCTATGGGCCTGTACAAATATTAGATGAAATAGATTGTAAACTATGGTTTTAAAATCTATATTTTTACCTCTTTATGAAATTTTGTATTATATAGCATATCGTAAGTGAACGGATTTTAATTACAATATCACAGGGAAAATGTATGTTTATCTCAAAACTATCTTCACTTGCATTCAGAAAATGATAAGCTTGATTTAGGTGTAAAAAATCAAATGAAAAAATAAGATTTAACTTGTTTCTGTGAAAGAAAAGTGCAATACATTTTTTCACCAAAATCTAATTGATCGTTATGATTTTCGAAGTTAAAGATGAAATAAAAGACATCAGGGAATCTGACACATCTGTTTCATGTTGGGATGTTTTGCTGACTTAAGAGTTAATGCAAAGTATCAACTAAACTATTAAACAAATCACTTTAGCATTTCCTTCGACAACTTTCCATACATATGTAGTAATATTCCACCATCACCGATATTTAGTGTTACGTCTCCCAAACTGATTCGGTAAGCGAGGGTATGTTCAGAGTATGATGACCTACGAAACCGAAGTAGGCTACTGAAAAGTAAGTAGATGTAACAAGAGTTTTAACGGTCTTGTTTAAAGTCAGCATGCTGTTTCAAAGTGGTCTGTGGTATTGCCTTATTTACAATTTGCAATGTTTAGATCGAGGCCTTATAAGATTTATAATTGTCTTATAAGATTTATAATTGTTTTTGTTTTGTTTGTTCTTATTTTTTGTTTTGTTTTTTATTTTTATTTTTCATCTAAAATGATAAGATGAAAGAAATTTGGAAAACCAGATATTGCTGATCATTGACTTGTACTTTAATAATTTCCTATAAATTTATAAAGCTGATTTAATTCGTCACAATATTGATTGATAATAACTGTTGTTGTTTTAGTTAATGAAAGCCTTCAGGCTCGTGCACTGCTTACTAGGTCGTACGTTTTGACGTGGGTCAATTTTATACACCAATAAAACTTTCATTTTCCTTCTTTCGGAAAATCTTGAGAGACGTACGTACATATACCACTGACAATGTCCGTGAGGAAAGATTAATGAACACGGCACTCTTTTTGCTTTTTTCTCATTGGAATTCACTTAACGTGATAAACAGTTTTCTACCGAAACAAGGTGTAACAAAACTCTATTAAGTTACCTTGAGGCTACGTCAATTACAACAGAGGGGAAAAAATGCATTATTTAGTGTCATTTTACTTCTTGGTGATCGTGATAATAGTAAAAGTCGTGACATGTGTAGAAAATTCAACGTCTTTTCTACAATACAAGACAGAGAATTTGAAAGAAAGTTACAATTTGGAACCGACAATTGGCTCATTGCCAACTGGATGGGATGACTTTTGTATGGAGAACACTGAAAACAGTTCTACTGAGATGATGTCCTTCAAGTGTATGATTGACAGAAATAACTCTGGACGCTGGAACTATGACGAAATAAGGGACCACATTGCTTCAAAGAAGGTGAAATACAAATTTGATATCGAATGTGTTCAAGGGGCTAATATTTCATTGAAATGGCCTTTCAAGGCAATAAATCTCAAAGAATTAAAAGTGCAGAACTGTGTGCTTGAAGAATTCTACGGTGATTATGAAAATGAAATGTTGGCTACCTTTGCTGATGAGCTGGAATGCCTTCGTCTGACAGATGTCGTTGCTATGGTGAGCATATTTGACCTGATTTACCTGGCTGGCTCAATAGTAAACATCACACAAGATGCCCTGTGTGGAAATGACGAGAGTCTCATTGAACATACAATCAGCAATTTAACTTACAACTTTGGAGCCTCCACGGAGACGTTTTTCCAGAATTTGTTAAACGAGACTACGGGTGAGCACGATGTAGAAAAGGACCCGGTATTGAACGACGTTCCGAAAATGTACAATGATGTCCTGAGGGTGGAGCATGTATGTGATTATAAACGCTTGAGAAAATATGAATACAGTATAAATTCTTCTCCAGGTTCATTTTTCATTGACGTACAAACAGAGAGATCCAAATATCCAGTTCTTGAAAACTTGAACTTTTCTTTCACCCCTTTTGGAGAAAAATATCCCTTGGATAATTTGCTGAAGAATTGGGTTAGTTTTTACCCTTCACTTCAGTCCATGGATATTTCTCATTGCAATATACAAGAGTTAAATTTCATCGGTATCCCTGACACGATAAAAAGAAGAGATAATCAGACGCTTTTTGTAAATCTCACAAACAATGTTATAAAGGAATTGAAAGTGTCAGTTCTAGAGACTATATTTGACGAAAACAGAATGTTCTTGAATTTTAGCCAGAATCCATTAAACTGTTCTTGCACGGAGGATATGAAGGAACTCCTCAGCTTTGTTCAGGGAAGAGATAAATGGACATTAAAGAGGTACGCTAGATACAGTTTCATCAGAGAAATGAGATGTTTCTTTCCAGAATCTTTAAATGGAACTCTTTTGAAGGACTTAACAGAATCATTGTTAATGTGTAAGAATGATTTCACATTGACGGAAACCATTCTTGTAGAGGCTGTAGTTTCCTTAAGTGTGTTTTCAGTTTTGCTTTTAGTGGTTATTATCGTAATACTTGTGTTTCGAAGAGAAATACGTATTCTGACCTATACCAGATTTCATATACTGTTGCCATGCCAACCAGAGGAAGTGTTCGAAGAGAAAAAATTCGATGCTTTTGTTTCCTACAGCAATAAGGACCATGAATGGGTCAATGGTGTGTTTGAAAACAATACCATAGAGGGTCTAAAGGATTTCAAATTTTGTTTACATCACAGGGACTTCATGGCGGGTAAAACCATAACAGAAAACATCATAGACAGCATTGAAAGCAGTAGACACACCATAGTCATTATGTCAAGGCACTTTCTGGACAGTAGTTATTGCCTGTATGAATTTGAAGAAGCTTTTCGACAGAGCTTAAGTGAAAAGAAACGTCATTTGTTGGTAATTTTGATGGAGGAGATTTCACAGAATAAAATGCCAAAAGTTTTGCAAGCGTGTTTAAAGACATTCACCTTCATTAAAAAAGATGACAATATTTTTATGGACAGATTAATTTTTTCTCTCTCCTATAAAGGACGTGATAGTGTGGGTAAGGAATCAAAATATAACGCTGCCTATGAAAATAAGTCTTGTGACGAAACTAAAAAACAGGAGAGCACTTTAACATTGGATAAAAACGTTTATCAGATTGGTTTACCCCAAGGAAATGTTGATAATGAGAAAACCGAACAGTATAACATATTTCCTTAATTGCTCTAGATCCACTTACGTAATGGACGATTAAAACTACTATTTTGGGTTTGACCTCATATGTATCAGATAAAACGTGTAACTTGGTCAATGAATTTTCTCTCTTTTTTGTGTGTATATTTATCTGTACCTTATAATTAATAAACGTTAAAAAAAGATGATATCTGCATTGATATTTTTCGCCAAATAGATGTTCCACGCTTTATTTTTGCCTTTTTTGCACTGACCCTTAAAAGGTAAATTTAAAACTTTGTTAAATTGAATTGAATCAGAAAGGAGGAAAATGACATTGGAAGAACCTAAATTCCCCTTTGATTAGACAAAACTATCTCAGTTATTGGTAAATTGAACATCTATGTATTTAATGATAAATTGACAAATTATCAACGTATCAAGGTAAAGTTTTCGACACTTCTTGTACTTTTTTTCCAGAAAATTTTGTAAGCACAGCCTATACAGTATTAATTTATCGCATCAATTCACGAACTTTTTGATAAAATATATTTATCAAATAGACTCTGTGAAAATAATAACTTGAACTACTTTTTTCTATCTCTATCGTTGTTAAAAATGCCTTAATAATGTTAAACTTAAGTTATCTCTAATTATTCGAACTTACTGAGTTCTTTATCTTTCGCATCGTGTATATGGTTCTATATTGACTGTACAATGTTGTTTGGATTTCAATAAAGAAAAAGCTAATAGAAGCAAAGGGAAAATGGAAAAAAAAGTATCAAACAGAAAATTTAAGGTTTTGTAGTTAGATATAGAATTGATTTCACTCATGAGAGGATTATTTTTTTTTATTTTCCCTCGTGCTTTGCAATCTTATTTTTGGAAACCGACTTTTTCCATTAAAAACGAGCTATATAACTTGAATGTATGTTCATTCACTTGTTTATTTTTCACTAGTTTATTTTTCGTTTGTAAATATTAAATACATTTTAATTTTTAAACAAATATCACTATTAACATTCATTTGAACATATCCCACCAGAAATGATTTAATTAAGTATTGAAGTGTTATAAAATTAAATAATAAATGAAATACAAAAAAAAAACTGTTGCGTGATAAGAAATTTGACAATGAATCATAAACAATTGCCAAATCTTGCGGTTTTATGACGTGACGGTCCCATGCATCATTTGGTTAACAGCAGGGTCTGGACTGTAAACATGCTCTGCTGTTTGATCCTACGGCAAACATACACTGAGTGGTTTACATGAATCTATAATAAATTCATGGTAAAGGACGACAAAAAAGCTGAAACCATCTCAATACATGTGTAGACTTTTTCCTAAATGTTTTCTTTTCTCCTGGAGGTAAAATTTCATTATTGAGTTCATTTATCTGACTGCAGATTTGTCCCTCTCTTTGATGCAGACTATCATATTTCCTATCAAATGATTATAACATTTGAAAAGTTTAAGACGTCGTTGATTTATACTTTCAATCAATTATGAGTTATTAAAGGTAAATCGAGGAAAATACCGGTGTCATATAATAATCCCTCCCCTATGGTAAGGTATCCTCCGGCATATTTACTGTATATTACTATATATTACACCTTCCCGGTAGTAGGAGTTTACTACATGCTATTTCTTTCGCGTAGTAAACCTTCCCAACTAACCCTAAGAGATCGAATTTCATGTATTCAATGGAAATATACTAGTATTCTATTATAATAGTAAATTTTCAGCCATGAGTTAAATGAGAATTATGAGTTTTATTTTTGTGAAATTAGTGATGAACAGAAGATACTGTGATCAAATCTTAAAGTTCCTTTTGATATAATTTTTGTGAACATGCAAATTTAAAACATTATAACATGTAACAAATCCCACTACCCTGCAACTCTTTACAAGACCATAACAATCACTTCATTGTTCTACAATTTGAGTAAAAGAATACAAATCATAGACTTCAGTTAATGTTAAAACTTTATTGGAGCCCGTCCATTGAGGTACTGCTTTAACTATTATTCAATATTTTAGATAAGTAGATCAAAACTAATTCGTTGAATCTGAGTCTTATACATTTATCATGTTAATCTTGATTGTAATCAACACATGCAAGTAGTTTATCCCGATGTATCAATGATTGTCGGGATAAAGAGGGGAAAATTCAGTATCTAGCAAAATACCAGCGGGGGATGTTTCCTATGCACAGGGAAGCGTTTGCTATATACTGAACTTTCACCGAGGATAAATTTACAATATAGTAAAATATCCAGGAGGAAAGTTTGCTATATAGTGATCTTTCCCAGAGGACAATTTTACAATACACGTATAGTAAAGCATCCAGGAGGAAGTTTGCTATATAGTGAACTTTCCCCGTGGATAAATGTAAAATTTAATAAAGCATCCAGGAGGAAGGTTTGCTATATAGTGAACTTTCCCAGTGGATAAATTTAAAATTTAATAAAGCATCCAGGAGGAAGGTTTGCTAAATAGCAATTATTCCTAAGAAGAAGCTTTACTATAAAGTGAATATTCCAGATGAAGGTTTCCTTTGCAGAAGGTTTACTTTGCGACACCCGGTATTTCTTTCGACATTTATATAGAGCATAATATAAGTTAAGATTAGAGAAAAAAACCGTCAAAATATTTTCTATACATATTTACATAATAGGCTTCAGGTGTAGCTACTACTTGACATTCTAAGATGGTTGAAAGGATTCATGATTTCATAAGGTATAGACTTGTAAAGTCAGTTAATGAAGTTCAGCCATAAAACAAAAAAGCATTCACAAGAACATTTCCGAAATACTCTATGCAGATGAGGGGTTTAAAATTTAATTTAGAAGTTCTAGAGTACTTAATTTCGTGTTTGAACACCTTTTTATAAAAGATGTCAATTTTATTACTTTTTAAAATTTTATTTATTTATTCATTTATTTATAAATTCTTCGGAAAAGGTAAGGTACTTAACATCCACTAGAGTCGAAAACCCAAGGGATATACTGATTACGCAGAATTTATCATCACCACATGTACGTCTTTTTTGTTTCTGAGCCTCAACTATTCATTAGGTGAATATCTGCTAACTAGGTCGAATGTTGTTTGACGTATTCATTACAAATTGTTTGGCCATTATTTTCATACCGAGTTGTCTACTTATTACTCCGTTTACCTGATCGAGATAAAGGAATTAAAGCGGATGTGACTGGTAGACAGGGAATGCTTGCTCCTACATGGCAACAGATCCCTCCTCTAATGTTTCAGAAGTCCGTGCTTGTTCTGCTCTCAATTTATAATGTTCAATTGGAGTTTTGAGCATGGTCAATGTTCGTTATCTTTTTATTTCATTTTTTTATGTTTCCTCAAATCTCTGATTTATTGCTTTTGGAACGGTGGTTGTTAGTCTGTTCTCTTCGGACCAAAACTCTCAAACTCTTGAACTGGAATTGGTTCTTACAGCTCCTATTGTCCTAACAACGTGTCAAGATTTTGACTGAAGGTCATACTCAAAGTTCAAGAATAACTGAGCAATATGTCCGAGTTTTACCCTGGAACACCTGGAATGCATTGGAATGTATTCAAATGAAATCATGAAATAATTGTTTCGGTCATTACATTGAACCTCCTCTTAAGTTTAATTTAAACTTGAGAGTTCGATGCAGAAGACCTTTAATGAGTCAAGGTCATCCAATAATCATAACTGGGGGATTAAAAAAAAATTAAAAAAAAAAAAAAAACTGGGGGAATACAGTGATCGTTAAGTCAAGTGCTGACTGATGTTTTTCATACTAATTGTTAGGCCATTATTTACACACTGAATTGTCTACGGATTTTTCCGTTTTTCCCGATCATGACAGGGAGCACACGGCGGGTGTGACCGGTTGGCAGGGGATGCTCACTCCTCCATTGCACCTGATCCCACCTCTAATGTTTAAATTAGAGGTCCGTGTTTGCTCTGCTCCTGATTTGTATTGTTTGAATGGACTTTTGAACTTTAACATTGTTCGTTGTTTCCATATTTCATTTTAAAAGTTACAACGAAGAGGATTATTTACATGTCTTCTTTTATTAGGAATGTAGAAGTGTGTACTTTAAACCTATGCTGTATTTAGGTTAGGATTAAGCATTCAAGAGGTCATATTTTATTAGAATAGTGAAGATTTACTTCAAAATGAAATTAAAACGACAATATGTAATTAGTACCAATTACCTTCTAAATTTTCCTGTTTTTAAGTATAAACTACAGATATTTACTTCAAACCTTTTGTTTAAGACGAAAAAAAGATTAACAACGGCATTTAATGTTATAGGGGGCACACTTTAAATCATAAAATGTGTTTCTCTTAATATATCGAATAATACAAAAGGCCATCAGCCATTATAAAGTAGTTAAGATTTCTTTTTTTCGAAGTGATTTTTGCTAATGAGCAAATTTAAGATTGCAATTCATCAATACCTTATATGTTGTCTTTCTGGCACGTCACGTCAATTATGGATAATTCAGAGCATTTAGGAATTCTAGGATATTATTCCTTTTTTGTCTGATCATAAGCTTCTGGAAAATCAATACTTTTATTGCGAAAAAGTGAAAACAATGCTTTTCCCTCATTTGCTAGAGAAAAAAAAATCTTGCACTGCTTAGTAATTACAAATGGAATCAGAGATAAATTCTCATAATTTAAGGGGTACAAGTACAAACCTTGGACCCAGGGGTGATGAATTTTATATTTTGAGGTCACTATGTCACTAAGGTTACCTTTAAGGCTACCGTAGGAATATAGGAGTTTTAAAAATTAAAAGATGTTATGCATTTTCAATATATGACCAATCAAATCCCAAAACCAGTGTTGAATCCAGCACCCACAGGAAAGAATTTAACAGTCTGGTAGTGAGTTCCTTGCTCATTATAATTGGTCTGCTTGTAATTTGTATAGAAGTAAAGATTGCAAAGATAAAATCATTTCCAAAGGGCACACGGTGGGTGTGACCGGTCGACAGGGAATCCTTACTCCTCCATGACACCTGATTCCATCTCTGTTTTTTGGAGGTTCGTATTTGATTTACTCACAATTTGTATTGTTTTAATGAACTTTATTCCCTTTCACTCATATATAGTATCAAGCAAATTTGAGATCTGGTGTAAAACTGGAAATGTTCGACGTA